ATTACCATATTGGCTGTTTATTAGTACTTATAAAGCACATATTAATGCCTTATTCTGCATGACCATATTCTAGATCCCTTAATCTTAATAAGCGGCAAATTAGGAGTTTACTGAGGCAAAAGTCATAGTTAATATTTAGTTAATAGTGAGAACTGGTCCTAATAAAGTGTAACCAAATAATATATATATAGTTCAACTAGCTGCCAAAGCAACGTTTCTCATTTTTCAATTAGTTTAACTTGATGTACTGAAATAACTAAAATGAAAACTGAAATAAAATGAACAAAAACTATATAGACATAAACAACTAATAAAAATGACAAAAACACACAACAAAATTGTGTTTTATTAAACTTTAACTAACATAAAGCAGCACAACTTCAGAAAATATAAAAATACACAAAAACGAAAAATATTAATAAATACTATAATATTATCTTAATGATACTAAACTAGCACTTATAATTTCAACTTGGCCTACTGACAAGTGAGGACCATATCTATCTTTTAATTTGTTTTTGTTCCATATCAAAGTACATTTTTATTTTGCGCATGCATTCGAACCTTTATTATCTGCTAATTCCACCAGTAATTGCAGCAAATTAACACATTGAATTTACAGTCCTAATTTTAACATTTTACTTCCTTTTTAAATCTTTAGACATAAAATCCATAGAGATATCTTGTGTACTTTTGGTTGCTGAGATAATGTTCAGCTGGGAACCCTCACAACAGTCTAAAGTGTGCCAAATATGTGAACTTTGTATATGTCCATTACAAATACTGTACTGGTCATGTAGAACTTTTCTTTGTTGTATTGTAAGTGGTAGCTTCATTCAGAAGACAAAAGAAGGCACTTGTGTTGTTATGCTGATTACAAGCCGTCAGACGTTGGTCATGTCTGCGGCAGACTCCATCAAAGAGGGACTCTGTGACATAAGTCAGATAAAAGAGAAAGAGACAATCCATGACAAGACGAGGGGAGACTGAATCTCTGTCCACTTTTGTGACTGTGTGAGCTCTCTGGTGACAACAGCCAGACTGTTTGGGGAATATCAACAGAGGGAAAGCAAACACAATGGAGCTCTGTTCTAGAGGAACAGAAACGCAGTAATCGCACTGGCCCTCATCCCAATCTATCCCCTAAACTACAGTCACAGACAAGCATTATAACCAGTGTCAGCTTTGACTGATGGTGAACTTCCTCCCCAAGAAGAATTTACCTTGAAATTAAAGGGATGTTTTCAACAGAGCAAAAAATCTTGACGCTAATATCACCATTGCAAAACAGTTGCATGAGATAAAGAATATAGCACATTTTGTTATCTCTCTGTAATTTATAGCGATACTGCACCGAAACTTCACTGAAACAGGAAATGCCACAGCAATAGATATTGCTGTAGAAATATAAGTGTATTTTCAGAGTGAACAAGGAAGAAATCCATCAAATTAAACTAACAGTTTACCCCAAAAATTCAATGCTGTCATTTACCCAATAGTACAATAAAAAAAGCATCATATATGTCAGGGGTGGCGAATGTCGGTCCTGGAGAGCCGCAGCCCTGCAGAGTTTTGCTTCAACCCTAATCAAACACACCTGAACAAGCTAATCAAGGTCTGAAGGGTTACTAGAAAGCTACAGGCAGGTGAGTTTTAATTAGGGTTGGAGCTGTACTCTGCAGGGCTGCGGCTCTCCAGGACCGGAGTTCGCCGCCGCTGATATATGTGGTCCATATGACTTCTGTCCTAGTTCTCTTTAGCGCTCTCAGTTATTGACTCAATTCAGTCACAGGGGTTCTGAAGTTATTTGGTCAGTTTGTCACACATAGTTATCATATGGCTTCGGAAGATTTGCAATATAGTAGTATGAGTATGGGTAACACTTTAGAATAACGGTCCGTTGTTAACAAGTAACTATGCAGGAAGTAATAGGTAGTACTACATTAACACTTAACTTAATACTATTAACTAATAGAGAAGCAAGATTAACTAAGCAGTAAGTAGTAGCAAATTTAGGACAAAGGTAGTTCCTTATTAGATATTTGATAATTACTAAAAAAATATATCCTCATTGAGAACGACTTGCGAACTATGACCAATTAATAAAGAATAACCAAAGAATTACTAATCACAACAGTATACCGTCTTAAAAGTGAACAATTGGGTTCTTTGTGGAAACTAATTTATGAATATGATATCCCCCAAATAAGTCGACTACAGGTTGAAATTGTGACTACTACTCTTACCAAAGGATGGATGTTCTCTGTTTATTTCAAACAAAAACATAAAATAATAATAAAAATAATTCATTTAAAAATGTTAATAAATTAACAAAGTGGGGTTGGGTAATTATTCCCTTAATTCTATTTTTGAGGTGTTTGTATGTTTTTACAAACACAGACACACACAAATACTTTCTCCCTCTCTTCCTCACCTCTCACTGCGACTTTCACTGTTACAAATACACCCACTCAGACATATATTTAAAGAACTTTGCATGACCTGGAAGACAGACAAAGGGGCTGTAAAATACCCAAACAACACTTACGGAAAATGCACACTGATTTGCCATTTGTTCACATATCGTTATTTGAATTCAAAAATTAAAAGACATATCACAGAAGAGGTCAATTCAAGCCATTTTATGAATTGCATTTTCAATTTCAAGATTCAGTCCTAATATATCACACCTGAACCAGATAATCAAGGTTTTGAGGTTTATTAAAAACTCTGACAGCTGTGTTGGAGCATCCCTAATTTTTTGCCAAACATTTTAGAGACCATTCAAATACACAGCCTTCATTTTAAAGCAAATAAACATGTCTATAAGCTCTGCCATTACTGCCATTTGAACTTACCATAAACAGACAGACAAGCTGTCTCGCTCTTAATGCCATCTGGATACGTGTGAAACTCGCAAGTGTAGCAGCCCTCATCCTCTGTCTGAGCCTGGTGTATGGAGAGCTTGGTTTGCCCAAGTGATGGATTTAGAGTGATCCGACCCTTGAAAGGGGTCTCAATGATGGGTCTGTCATTCTTGACATAAGAAGCAACAGTGGCGGTGTCCCCTTGCTCAGCTGTTTTTTTCCATAAAACCTGCCGGACTCGCTTACTGAGAACATACTTGCACGAAAGAGTAAGAGGCTTTCCGCTCACAACTGTTTTATTGTCCATCATTTCCACCATCGCTGAAAGGAATATAAAAGGAAAAGTGAAGAGATTTTACATGACCATTAGGTAGGAATGTTTACCCAAAAATGGAAATCATGTCATCATTTACTCAGAATGTTGGTAAAAGTTTTGGTGTCCACTGACTTGGTGACACTGTATGAGACATTTCTCAAAATATTTTCTTTTATGTTCCACACAAGAAAGAAATTCATACAGACTTGGAAAGACATGAAAGTGAGTAAATGATGACAGAATTTTCATTTTTGGGTGAACTATCCCTTTAAGACTATGCTCAGGTAAATATTTGGAAAATGTGCGACACTATCTATTAGCATACGCACATTGCCTTCACTTGTTATCAACACTAACTGATAAAATGAAACTTATCACAAACCCAATGACAGTTTTTATCTGATGTAGAGTCGTGTGGTTTTGTGATAGTTTGTTGTCAGTTTTTTAAGTAAAAGAGGTCAGGCAGGATGGTGGTTCTCACCACTTCTTGTTGGGGCACTATTTATAACCAATCGTCAATGTCTTGTGAGCGCAATGTAATAACCACCAATAACATCATGAAACCATCTTAGTGCAGGTCTAAAAAATAGCATTTCCTATGCTACATTTTTGCAGTCTTTTTGATGAGTAATATTTCCTTCTAAATTCATATTTTCAAATTATCAGTGGGGAAAAATATCAAGAGCACAGAAACATGCTGTGGGTATTTTTAGAAAGTTTGAAAGTGATTACCAAGCCTCACCCGTAAGTGAAAGACATGTCCTTCCTCTCTGCTGCCCGGTTGGGTACACATCAAAAAGACACTGGTAGCAGCCCTCGTTGGCTGGCGCGGCTCTTCTGATGGTGATGACGCTGGTGTGAGCTTGTTGACCTGTGGTTTGCTGTGAAAGCTCGACTCCATCCACTTTGGTGACATGATCATTCTTATCAGGCTGATAGTGTAGTATAGTTTTATTTGCCATGTCTAACCACAGTACTTGTTTTAAAACCTCTCCTGTCTCCATGGTAATATTACAGGCTAGCATGAAGGGAAGTTCAGCCATCGCCTGCAGATGAGGTGGTGCAAGGACCTTGCCTGGGACATATTGACAAATCTGATATCATTTAAAATGGTATACAACAAATACATCCACCTCTAACCATTTTTTAAGTAAGCATTTTAAAATAAGCATTTTTTTTTTTTTTATTAAACTTTGTTTTGCTATTATTAGGGGGCGTAAAGTATAAAATGTCAGAGTGGTACAACTATTCTGATATCATAATATCGGAAAATAAAAATATAAAAGAAAATATCTATTAAAACACTGAAATTCTTGACAAAAAAATAAATAAATATTAGAAACAAAAATGCTTCACTGCTAATTATTTTTTTTAATAGTTTATGAATAAACTTGTCTGCCTAATAAAAGTCATGTGGCATAACCAACATGCAGAAAAAAACATAAAACAGTAAATGTATGTCATAATGCAGATATAGAAGCTTGTCTCTGCAACATGATAATACTACTACTAATAATAATAATAAAATCAATCGTGACTTTTTTTTCTCACAGTTCTAAGATTATATAACACAACTCTGACTTTTTTTCTCAGAAATGTATTCTGTGGTGGAAAGCGGAATTGCGAGATGTAAACTCATAATTCAGAGAAAACAGATATAAGATATAAAATAAGATATAAGATAAGAGATTCAGAGATATAAGATATAACCTCAGATTTGTGAAAAGTAGACTCAGAATTGCGAGGGAAAAAGTCAGAATCCTTGCAAGTTTATATCTCGCAATTCTAACTTATTTTCTCAGAATTGTGAGAAAAAAACATGTTATTACATTTAATGGTTACACTAATGTAGTCATTCAGTTTAATCTCTTCTGGAAAATGGCATAAAACCATATAAAAACATATAAAACCAACATGAACACAAAGAATACATTTCAAAGAACCATCTGCTATATTTGTTTAAGATTTGTCCTTTCCTTTATCATGGACACTCTTATATGTCATTGACCCAAATTCTGCTCTAGATCTTAGACATTCTAATGCTTAGAAAGGAAACCAAACAGGCACCTTGTAGTCGAGAGAGCAACATCAGTGTCAACCACACTTGCAGAGATATTGCAGAGATATATCCACACATCTTGACCTGCAAGATCATTTTAAGTGTTGGTCAATAAAGTAATGGGCCAAACAAACTTTCAAGATTTCCAGAGTCCTATATTAGTCATGTGCATTAAAGTAGACTCTACATAAACAAGTTTCACAATGGCGTAGTTCATTACAATGAGCAACCAAGGCAGTACCACCCTAATGAGCACTGCTACATTGTGTGAAACATCTAAAAAATATACAGCACTGACAAAGTCAGAGAATTCAAGTTACTTACAGACACAGATTTGTAAAGAGCAGACAGTCCATGCACACAACATCAGTTCAGCTCCTCAACAGCCATTGCTTTGTAATAAAAAAAATAATAATAAAATAAGACATTTTATTAAAGATATTAATAAATCAACTCGAAATATCACACAAATAAGAAGTTTTTGTTCCGTGTGCTGCTGAAAGACAAATTTCTATTTGGGTAGCATACTGCTCAGATTCACATCTGACTTCAAGGATATATTTGTCCTACAAGTCTTGTTTATTTTGGAATTTGAGGATTCACTGCACTATTTATGGCAGTGGTAACAGTGCAATTCAGCATTTTTGGATTGTTTGGAAATGTGATTGTTATTTGCCAGGTTTATTTATGGCATGAAAAACAAAATCTCCAACCACCTGCATCCTGTCAAGGTTTATTACCTCTCTGGTACTTTAACAACAGTTTAGGTATCAAACTACCACTTTATTGTCTAGACTAACATTAACTTGAGGAAATAGCTTCCCTTGCCCTTTACACAAACTATATGATTAAAATCACTTGTGGCTTAACTCTGCCAGTAAATCCACAGAAAGAGTGGTTCCAGCAGATGATTTTTTGGGCCACATGGCAGATGCTTCCAGGCAGCCACACGCCCCTGATGATCTCAAATGAAAGATCATAGTTTGGCCTTTTTTATTTATTTTGTTATTTTTTCTCCATTTCGTTGTCCAAAAAAAAAGTAAGTAAGAAAGAAAGAAACTATCTTCTCCTCTATTTTTATAATTTATTTATTTGCTTTAAATTCTACACAAAGGAATTTGAATCATGGTTACATTTTATAATAACATGTAAATTAAAATTATAGGCCTATTATACAAATATAAACGTTTTATATTATGTGTAATGATTTAAATGACAGTCTATAAATCATGATCTGTTGAACAATATAATACGTAATTATGTGTTAATCTGTAATCCAGATTGAAGAATAATTGTCTGAATATAAAGTCTTCGCAAAATATGTGATATATAGACAATTCACTCAAGATTAACAAAAAAACTAAACTCAAAGTTCCATAACTAAAGTAATTTATAGAAATAGTGAACAGAATGCATATACATAGACATGAAACAACCTTGTGTAATTCAATACATTTCGGGTCTACTTTAACTAGTAACATTTGAAATTATTCGATTAAGAAAATATGGATTATTATTTCTGTAATTTAAGAAGAAAATTAAATGGTTGCAAAAACGTAAGCGTCTGCTTTGATTTCACCTTTATTAACAAGAATAAGCGACTCACCCTGCAATGCATGGCTGAGTTCTTCCGTATTGTAAAAATCCAGTGGCTCAGCGTTATTCTGGCATGTGTGAGATTCGGGATACGAATGGAAGTGGAAGTGAGGAAGTTCGGGCATGCAGTCGTGGGAAGCATAGCAATCAGTGTTCAGAGAGGCCCAGTTACGTTCAGTGTATGGAAGCGTGCAATTACTAGACCGAGTAAACAGCGACATCTAGTGGTGTGAGCCTTCTGAATTCAAAATCTACAAAAACATTTCTCTCCCTCTCTTTTTTTTTTTTGTACAATGTCAACCTGACCCAATTAAAAATATATATATATTGAGGAATATACCTTTTTATAAATATACTTTGGTTATGTTCGGGCACATAACAGGCCGAAAATCAAGTTGGCCATGCTAGATGAGAGATTGAGAACTAGTTTACGTATTTTGTATTTGTACGTATAAGTGCCTAAAACTTTTCACAGTACTGTAGTTTTGCAGGTAGGTATATTTATTTATTTAGTAAATTCACTGTCATTAAAGTTGTTGCTATTTTGTTATTTAATAATTTAACAGCCTAAGATCAATACTGTAAACTTCATTTGTCATCATTCACAACCTAAAACTGGAATAATTCTGTCTCACTGCATTGTAACTGTTGCTATATTGTGACATGTTTTCAGGTTTAAAAAAGTGTTGAATGTAATTTCTGTTCAGATGCATTTCACTGTAACTATGCTTCATTATGAAGTCATGATGAAACATTCCATTTCAGAAAATGTATTCAAATTACTTTGTCAAGATGCATAGTTTTAAGTTTTACCAATTTAGTTAAAGCAATGGAATACCCCAAAAATAAAAGGAATAGGAATAATTTGGCCTTTAGATGTTCTTTAAAGGTCAGATGACTGGGCCAAGATGTCCCCAGGGCTGAAAGTGAAAGTGAAGTGAAGTGTGGCCAAGTATGGTGACCCTCAGAATTTGCGCTCTGGATTTAACCCATTCAAAGTGCACACACACAGTAGTGAACACACACCGTGAACACACACCCGGAGCAGTGGGCAGCCATATTGCTGCAGCGCCCGGGGAGCAGTTGGAGGTTCGGTGCCTTGCTCAAGGGTCTCACCTTTGAGTCGTGGTATTGAAGGTGGAAGAGAGTGCTGGTTATTCACTCCCCACACCAACAATTCCTGCCAGACCTGAGACTCAAACCCACAACCTTTGGGTAACATTTACATTTAGTCATTTAGCAGACGCTTTTATCCAAAGCGACTTACAAATGAGGACAATAAAAGCAGTCAAAACTAACAAAAGAGCAACAATATATAAGTGCAAATGACAAGTCTCGGTTAGCCTAACGCAGTACACGTAACAAGGTGTGTATATATATATATATATATTTATACACAGACACACACACACACACACACAACGAAAAACAAGTAGATAGAATAGAAAAAAATAGAAAGCTAGTGTTTGTTTGTTTTTTGTTGTTTTTTTAAATAAAAACATCAAGAGATGATAACTGTTCAGGGGAAGGAAGCAAAGATGAAACCATAGCAGATAGCCGGGAGGGTGAGAACAAGTATAGGGTAACAAGTGCGACTCTCTAACCATTAGGCCACGGCTGCCCGATGACGCCCGATGACGCCCGATGAGCCCCATCACCCCTCCTTTCATAATTTTCAGTTGCAGGCCTTTACAACTACATTGTTAATTGTTTTCATTTGATTCCCATAGCAACATGTTGGGTGATGCATAGTGATCCTCTACATGCTAAACTTATGTAAATGACAATTTATCAGTATATGGACACTGAGGTGCATCTTCCCCCATCTGCCTATAACACTTTGTTGAACAGATAGACAATAAATAGGAAAAGAGAAAAAATTAAAACAACAACATCAAAATGGTATGAGATAATCATATAAAGAACTTATTAGCTTCACATAGATGCGTTTCTGCTTTGTGCTGTCACTTCCTAGAGGATGATGGCATTTAAATGTAGAAATTGATTGCCAAATACATTATTAATTATCATTCCCATAAAAAACCTGTTTGAAATATTTAGAATAGGGAAAGAAAACATCATGTATTTGGATAGAACTTATTACATTTTTTAGGTTATTTTTTAGTTAAGGTTACCTGTTATATACCTAGTAGCCTATACCTGACTCATAGCTTGTCATAGCTCCACTCATCCAACACCAACAAAAGACACAAAAATGGCTGTACTATGTGACTAATTTGATTTCCAGACATAGAGAGAACTGAGAAATCATAGTCATATTCTGCCATATGAATAAAAATATTAGCATATTTTGTATTTGTATATTTTTATGCCATACAAATAAAAATATTTATTTAAATGTCATCGGTTTGTTCATTGTTGCACAAAATGAAGGCCTAGACAATCATTTGGTGACATGGAACATCTTACACACTATCATCAACAATAGGCCAAAACTACATTGAAAAAAAAAAGAAGAAAAAAACATACAATCTAAAAGCAGTATGATCCCAAAGAAATATTACAAAATATGCTAATATGCTAAATGTTATTTTAGCATATAAAACTGTCAAGACGTGTGGAATGATTTCGTGTTACACCATTAGAGGGCGCCCGTGTTGTTCACTGCATATATAAGATGCTCAATCCACGCGCCAGCCTTTTCAGCTGAGTCCACGATCAGGTCACGGCCAGCGCTGTTCTCCTCCTGACACCCCCAAACACAATCCAACAAAATGATCATCTATAAGGACATCATCACCGGTAAGAATAGCGTCTAACACGCCGTTGCAGTCCAGAATGTTACGTTTTTACCAATATTTTTGGCGTCGGATGTTAAATTGTTAAAAAAGAGCCGGTGGTCTCTCAAGACTCGCTGCGGCCTAACTTTCTTGAATGCAGTTAGCTTAGTGGCTAACCAAGCTACAAAACCGTGTAGGCTCGCGTTTCTTTGCTGAGCTCCTAAATAACTGTCAACCTAACGATTGCGAATTTTTTACGCCAAAACTATTTCAGGATATGAAAGTGTTCGGTTTATATTCAAGCAAATCTGACGGTAAATGGGAGTGTTAACAGCTGAGTTAAAACGCCGGTTCGCCAGTTTGGGGCTCGGTAGAAGTTGTGCTGTTAAGTCATTTTAACACCCATACTCTTCCAAAATATGGCTCGTGTTGAAAAATAACATATTTTTGTGATTGTTTTTATTTTAATGGCAGAAACAGTATTTTTTTTTTTTTCAATTTCAGAAATCTTTGAGATGATGAAATAAGCGCTAAACAGGGCGTGTTACTAGTCTGGCCACTTCACTTTAGTCAGCTTTTCTCAGGCCCTTTAAATGTAAAGTTATATATAACATGCATTTTGCGGGAGTTATAAACGTGGGACGTTAACCATTATCTCGATCATTGACGGATATTTCAAAGCCTTCCGTCGTTTTGAGAGAACACATTTATTCATTTTGCTTTGAGAACATTCCAGTGAACACTGCTGCTGACAGGGATTAGAAGTGAAAATGCGAGAAATTCGTTTTAAAGCGTCCATGTGAAAAGGGAGGAAGAAAGGGTAAAGAGGTGAATGAGTATTTAGAGCTGCACGATTAATCGTTAAAAGATTGCGATCTCGATTCAGACAACCACACGATCTCATTTCTAAATGACAACGATTCTCCCGTGTCTACTAAACCTTTGAAAAAGTCTTACCGGATCATTCAAATCTGCGTTCGCACTGCCGCTGACACAATCTATCTATCTATCTATAATTTTTGGCTGTGTAAGCAGTTGTACCCTGCCTCAACAAAGTAATTTTTAGTCTGATGTGATAACATTAACCAAACTAATCTTAAAAAATAATCTGACGCTAAACTTTTGAGCAGTAAGGCTCTCTTATAGACGTACAATGATGACCAACTTAGGACACCTTTGTAGGTTACGACCTATGAAAACAAACCATGTTCTGAGTACGTATATTGGATGGGCTACAGCAAGCTGATTTGAGACCTAAATTTGTCTTCAACACCATATTTTCTAATCGTGTTCTGTAGATATTGGCATTGGTTGTACAGTTGCCGCTCAATATGTTAGTGCTGAAGTTTTTACCCTGAGTGATTGGTCAGCTAGTCAATGCCATACGTTTATTTTAAAGGGATACTCCACCCCAAAATGAAAATTGTCGTTAATCACTTACCCCCATGTCGTTCCAAACCTGTAAAAGCTTTGTTCGTCTTCGGAACACAATTTAAGATATTTTGCGCGGCTGACTCAGACGAGCGTAAACTGCCTGCGTTCAGCTCATATTCTCCAAAGTGGTGATGCGGACAGACATAGAGGAGACGAATTGCTGAATAAAGTCGTTACTTTTGTTTTCTTTGCGTACAAAAAGTATTCTCGTTGCTTCATAACGTTATGGTTGAACCACTGATGGCAGATGGACTATTCTGACGATGCTTTTCATACTTTTCTGGACCTTGACAGTGTAATTTACTTGGCAGCCTATGGGACAGTCACAAGCCTCCCAGTTTTCATCCAAAATATCTTAAATTGTGTTCCGAAGACGAACGAAGCTTCTATGGGTTTGGAACGACATGGGGGTAAGTGATTCAATTAATACATTTTCATTTTGGGGTGGAGTATCCCTTTAAAAATGACTGCCCCAAACTTCTAAACGGTAATGTATAATTGGGGGGTCTTAACCAATCAAATGTAAAGCTAAATGGGTATTTCTACTGAAACTAGAGACATTTTGTATCAGTCTCTCAGAGCCAAAATAACCAGAACACATCATGATGGTTAATATAAATGACAAGGTATTCTGAATGTTGTCTTGTCTCATTTTTATCTTTTTCTTTTTTCTTTTTCTTTTTTTTTTCACAGGGGATGAGATGTTCTCCGACATCTACAAAATCAAAGAGTCTGAGAATGGAATGATGATTGAAGTTGAGGGGAAGGTATGTGGGTTATTTTAAACCAAATGGCTTTTTAAAAATTGATTTTATAAGTGAAAGCCCTCTTATGGACGTACAATGATGACCAACTTAGGACACCTTTGTAGGTTACGACCTATGAAAACAAACCATGTTCTGAGTACTTATCCTGGATGGGCTAAAATTAGTCTAAATTAGTTTTGAGACCAAAATTAGTCTAAATATTTTTGAAATCAGTTCTGCAGATATTTACATTAATTGTACAATTACCAATCTTTGTTAGTACTGAAGTTTTTACCTTGAGTGATTGGTGTGATATCAGCTCCAGTCATTACCTCTGATTTGCAGATGATCAGCAGGTCGGAGGGAGACATAGATGATGCGCTGATTGGTGGCAATGCATCAGCGGAAGTTCAGGATGAAGGCTGTGATTCTTCCACTGTCAGCGGTGTAGATATTGTCCTCAACCACAAACTTCAGGAGACCTCCTATGACAAGAAGTCTTACACAGCCTACATCAAGGACTACATGAAGGCGTAAGTCATGAAATCACCTTTGAGAAGTGAATGTTGTACTGTAAATATCATGGTGAACGTTAATTTTCCTAGTGTTATGACTTGAGTTTATGCATCATTGACAGCTCAGAGTCTTGCATTGTGGCCACCTGGGTTTTAAAATGTTGAGATGCTAAATAAAATGTCCTCACGCTTTCTGCCTGCCCTATGAGTGGCATGTAAGATTGAATTGGGGACTACAAAACTTTTACTTAAAGCAGCTGTACTTGGTAGTTTGCAACACTAAATGAAACCTTATTATTTTGCTAATAATTGCCATTTTTGTTTTTATAACAGAGTGAAAGCCAAGCTACAGGAAGTTTCACCTGACAGGGTAGACCCCTTCATGGCTAACGCACCAGCTGAGGTCAAGAAAATTCTAGGCAACATCAAAAACTATCAGGTGGGATTCAGTAATGGCTGATACTGTCATTGTGCCGTTTTTGTATATGCTCAAAAGTTTGAGATTGGTAAGATTCTTGCTTTCGAAAAGTCTCTTCAATCAAAAATACGCTGATATTGTGAAATATTGCAATTTAAAGCTTTTCTGTTTGAATATAGTTTAAAATGTAATTTATTCCTGTGATGCAAAGCTGTTTTTCAGCAGCTATTATTTCAGTCTTCAGTTTCGCATGATCCTTATGAAATCATTCTAATATGCTGATTTGCTGCTCAAGAAACATTTCTTAATACTGGCGTTAAACTGCTGTTTCATATTTGTGTAAACTGATCATTTTTTCACGATCCTTTGAAGAATATAAAGTTCAAAAGAGCAGCATTTAATGCATCCTTTCTGAGTGAAAGCAGTGTTTCCCATACATTGATTTATTTGTGGCGGCCACCACGATATCAAAACTGACTGCCACATAGATTTTCCAAATGGCTTTGACTTCGTTGAATAAACATGAGCACTGCACGTTTCAAAATCGAAACCCGGTGCGGGTTTTTTTATATCACTGTATTTCTGAAGGAAACCGACTGTCTTCAGAATTTTTGATGTCATTTTCATTTCATCTTGCATGTAATGCCTGATAAAGCAGCGTTTGTGAGTGGAGCGCTGCTTTGTGTATATGAATAAAAAAGCCAAATTCCGTATGTGTACAGCCGTTACCGGGGAAACCTCTATTTCTCCCGCTCTA